AGCAATTCTTCTGAACACCACAGAAAAAAGAATTCTTTATACCTTTTGCATATTATATATTATTGCTTTTACAAGTACATTCAATTATTTATTTATTTAATATATAAATGCGACGCTTGAATCTTGTTATTGTATTATAGAATGAAAAAAAAAAGAGCCAAGTGTAACACAATGTTTCAGGATCGTGGCAGAAAAAATTTTTATAAGAACATCATGATAGAATAGGATTATCAAAAATAAAAAATCGAAAAAAAAAAGTGTCCTGAGGACGAATAAAGGATTACTACCACTCATTGTATATTGCAATCATGCAAGAATAATAATATTATCATAAGTTTTAATTATTATTATGAAACTACTTGGATTTTTTTTTCCCGTATATTCCTTCAAACTAAAAATGCCTCAAATCAAAACTATTGTTAATGTTTTATAAAATAAAAGTCAGATCACGTTTGGATTCTGAGTTTGAACACACACAGGCGGGTCAATACTGGTGGTATGTAGAGCAATTTTTACATACATACGAGTTGTACCAACTTGATACTTTTTCGAATTTTGACTTTGAAGTTAACTACGCGTAATAGTAATGCGTAATAGTATTTTTAGTGCCCGACACACATAGGCTGGTGAATATTGGTACGTAGAATAGTAGATGGACAGGTTTAGGTGCAAATGTTTGTAGGTTTTAATTTGAAGTTTTAAAATTGATGAAAATAGTAAAAAAATGTTGAAATTCTTTTATTTTTCAAATTTTCAAGATCTATATTTAATTTTTTATCAATCCTGTTAGAGAAATTAAATAAACTATTTATAAAAAACTCTATATACATCAATTAAAAAAAATAAAAGAATGAAAAAATAAGTTGAATTTTTCTCGTATATTGATCGAATTGTTGGTGTGATTGTTGTTGTTGTTGATTATTATTATCGTTGTTGTGATTGCCGTAAAGACCGAATTTCTTGTTGTTGTAAGTTAAGTTGTTCTCGAATTGGTGGTTGTCGTCGTCTAACTATGGTTCATTTTTCCTTAAAGAATTGAATTGTGATCAATAATCTTTTCTTTAACTTCCTTAATATTGTCCAGGATATATTTTAATAATTGTCATGACCCTTTAATTAAAGCTACTTTTGACTAGCTGAAATTTGTTTTGTTAATAAAAAAATTTTGGTTGCAAGAGTGGTTGTAGGAATGGGAGTAGGAATGTGAGTAGGGGTGGGAATAAGCGGGACAAGTTGTGGTGGTTCAGGAAACGGAGTAAGTTGTTGTAATTGTTGTTGCATTAAAAATGCAAATGTATTATTATTGTCGTTATTATTTATATTATTATTGTTGTTGTTGTTGCTCGTTTTATTTATATATATATAAATTTTTATCTTTAAATTTTTTTAATTTTGATAAAATGTTAGTATAGCTCAAGTCAAATTTTTTTCTTTGATATTCTAAAAATTTCCAGGTTTTGCTTATAGTGGTCAGGTTTAGATGACTCGAGCTGTGTTAGATTAAAAAATTTACAAGTTTTAAATATTAAATTAAAATAAAACTCCTTAAAAACAATCCTGAAAATTACAAGAAAACTGTTATAAGGATCGAATTTTATTACTAAACTAAAATCCACTAATTCCTATTTTTTGCTTTGTAACTGTATGCGAGATGAAAAAAAACTTGTAAAAACATCTTTTTGCCATGTTCTAAGTTGCCATAACTGATAAAAATCAACAGACAGACACGGTAAAAGACTAATTCGCAATCAGACTTGTAATAATTAATTAAGAATTCCTTGTTTTTTTCTTTGTAACTGTATGCAAGATAAAAAAAAACTTGTAAAAAACGTTCTTTTTGCCATAATTGATAAAAATCAACAGGCAGATATGGTAAATGACTCGTTTTTAAATAATTTGTTTAATAGAATAAATTACTTTTTTATGTCGAATGAGATTTTCCATTAACAAATAAAGATAATTTATATTGTAATGTTTATTTAAACATTTTTCTTATCTAATTCAAATAACGCGAGTAACAAAATTTTGTTACAGTTGGTTAAATTTCAATCATTGGGGTATTTTAATACTAACTGATACGTCAAATGATATTAATATTAATATCATTATAATGATCCTTGATGGTTGTGTGTAGCAACGATTTTTTCCAACGATTTTTATTGCATTTTTATATAATTAATAATTAATTAATATGTTTACCTCTACAACATCCATAATAATACGAACAAATTATTAATTATCATAATTACAAAGCAATTATCTAATATTACCCTCCTCTCCAATATTTGTGAATGTTAATTATATATAAGATAATTAACATTCACGATTCCTTCTAAAAAAAAAAAACAAGTGCAATGTGTATATATAACGTTGCTAAAAAACCATCCAAAAAGTGCAATACATATATAAAAATTTTCCTTTTGCACATGCAGAAGCAGATGCTCCCGCGGAGAGCAAAAATTCTTTGAGAGCTTCGCCCTCTGCAGAATTCTCGGGACCATGCATTTTCCACAAAGATACTTTAAAAAAATGATTAATTATCATCATCTCTTAATAATTGGTTACATTCTTATATTATCTAATCACTAATTATCTAATAAATCATATGTATATTAATATGTCATTATTTACATTGTAAAAATCAACTGTTCCGCATCCAACTATTATTTTCTTCCAAATTAGAAAATGGTCATCTAAACTAAACTAAATTTAGTGACGATCGTAGTACCCAAATTCTTCACGAACATAGTGATAGTAAGGTATACACGTGTTCTAAAAAAGAATAGAACACTACAAAGAATAATTTTTTGGAGAAAATCTCTTCATTCATTAAAAGCAGAAACCTATTTTACCAACTAATGAGGCTATTTTTTTAAAAGGTAGTACAGAAAATGACTTCTATACTTTTAAAATTTGCTAAAATTTAGGAGGTCTTTAGACCGAACCAACTATATAACAAAAATTAAAAAATGTGAATTACTATTATTATTATCACCAGAAAATGTACGAATAATATTGCGAGCAAAAAAAAAAAAGAATTATGAATTAGTGTTATTCTCAAATCTCCTTCCCCCCATTTTCTCCATTACACTTATTTTATATTACAAATTATTATCATCGTTATCACCAGAACTTGTACCTAAAATTTATAATAAAACGTATGAGAATGCTTTTGTTAATTCTATTAATTCTGAAAGAGAAAGTAGAAAAGCTCTTTTTTTTTCATTAGTCCAAAAAAATTAATAAAAGTCAAAAACCAATTCCGCTCAGAAAAGAACAAAAAATAGAACATTCGTGGAAATTTTTAGGTGATGTTGTGTAACGCAGATCCATTCATAAACTATGCTTACTATGCTGGTTTGTCAGAAACCGGTTCTGTATGGCTAAAATAGTTAGTTAAAACTATTTTTGGTATTATAAAAAAGCCCACCACGGAAAATTTCTTTCAATTAATTCTTTCCGTCTTTGCAATTAATCAATTATCTTTGACAAACAACATGTTACATCATGTCACACAACTTCATGAACCATTATCAGCACCAGTACTCACCACAGCAACAACAGCAACAACAAATAAGCAACAATATGATCAAGAATCACAATCGATGCAATCTATAAATACATCATCATCATCACAAAATCGAAAAAATGAAAAGAATCTACAAATGCATTTGTTTGAAGAAGAAACACCACTAAAACAATATAAACATCGTCTCCAAAAAATAGTAGAAGAGGACAAGGCCTTACCACCAACATCAGCAATGCCATTATCTTCACGTCATCGAAAAAAAAATTTCTTTTCAAGTCTTTTGGATCAAGATGGTGACCCTTCAACTGCATTTTGGTTTGGAATGTTTTTATTTATCTTGATTACATTTATTCTCACCGGTAAACTCTTTATTTTTGGAAGAAAACATATTGTTTGTTATTATTATTATTATTATTATATGAATTAATTTTTTAAGTTCAAAACTTTAGGTATCTCGATTATTTTTTTTGTGAATCAACCTGAAAATGTTGTTGGCAATTATTATATCAAACAAGATTGTCCACCTTCAGCAAGTTTGCCGTGTCCAATTGGTCAAGTAAATATCCAACCTTTCCTTTATTTTTTTGTGGAGAAATTTAATTATATATCTGACCATCTGTTTTTTTTTTTTTTTAAAAAAGAAATTATGTATCAACTATGTTGGATTTTGTCTAAGATATGTTTGTGTATCAAATAGTTTTGTAAGTAATTAAAATATATTATTTTTGTTTTTTGAAATAAAATAAACATCACTAATTATTATTATTATTATTATTATTATTAATTGATTTTAGCGTCAAAATACTTGTTAGATCACCTAAAATATTATATTCTTTTAAATAAATAACTTTAATTTTTTTTTAAATTCCTTTTGTGCAATTATAAGCAATTCATTCACCTCATCAATCATTTCCTTATTTTTATCCCCTACATCATAAGTAATTTCAAATACTCTTTTCACTGATTGTAATATTTCAACAGTTTGTTTTATCTTCTCATTGTTGTTGATTGAATCATTCCAAGCGCACTTGCCCAATGTAAATAAATAATAAATGCAATCCAACTACTGGGTGAAATCTTGGATAAATCAAAAGATAAATGGCCAACACGAATCTTCCTATTATTGATGCTTTCTTTATTCCATTCAAGTGAATCAATAAATTCAAAAAAAATGTTTGAGTTGAAACTGAAAGTGCTAATTTTGAGTATGGATTATGAGTCGGAGAATCTGGTGATGGTAAGTTAGTCAAGAATTTATCAAGAGATTTCATGTATTCATCTTAGATGTATCATTTCTAATATGTGATAAAATTAATGATAATGCTGATGAAATTATTGAATTAAAGGCCATTTCTGATGATGATGACGATGATGAATCCAGATTGATATTCTTTGCAAGTTGTAACATTAACCAGTTTTTTAAAATTTCCCTATTATCATCAGTTTCCTCAATTATTTATTCAACTTCCATTATTAAATCAATTTTTGTCTACACTTTTCTCCTATATTTATTTATTTCATCATCATCGTCATCACCATCATTATCATCAGGCTCAAGTGAACATCTTGGACATTTACATTTAAAAAAGTTTTTTTCTCTGAAAATTCATTGTCTGGATTTTTTATCTATTGCAATAACATTATATGATATGGTGATTTCTTCCCCTTCACTGATATCCTGATTAGTTGTACTTCGCCATCATACATAACAATTGAATTTGGCTGACAAAAGTGATTAATTAATGCTCCAATATGATATCTATGTTATTATTATTTTAGAGAAAAGAGTAAATAAGTAGATCATGATGAAGGAAATATATATATATATAAATACATTTGAGTAGAATTAAATTTATAAAAACAGATACATTCCTCACCAAAGGTAAATATTTGATAATCATGAATAGAAAAATTATTGCAATAAAATTTGCACAAAAAATTGATTAAACCATCTTCTGATAAATTGGTTAATCTCAATTCAGTAAAGACTTTAGATGCAGTCTTTCAACAATTTTCAAATTTAGTTTGAGATTGTTCATCACGATGTGTTATCAAACTCAAAAATGTCTCACAAAATATGTTGTTTATCAGTATTTTTTCATCTATTGTTTTCACTTTGCTAAAATCTAATTATCATCATCAATGTTTGTATAAATACTACATAATAATAATGTAGCAGTAGTGAAACATTTCACCTCTTGAAATAATATCTTTTTTTAAAAATGTCAACTCATCACCATATTTCTCTACGAACAAAAAAAACAATGAAGAAAGTGACAATGCTAAATTATTAGTATTGGATCAGATTTATTATCCTGTAGCAGAACATGGACGATTCAATTCAATTAATTCCAAGACAAATAAACCAATAACTAATTTCAATCCAAAGTTTACGATTTATGTTCACAGGTATTTTCAACTATACGTCATTTTCCAATTAATTTACTTTTTTAATTTTGTTTATTAAGTACGTAGAACAACCTTTACATAGTACATGAGACAGATTTAGGTGCAGGTTTTAATCCTGAAGTTTAAAATTATGAAAATAGTAAACAAAGAACGCTGAAATTCTTGAATCAATCACTAGAGTTTGATGATGATGCAATTTCATTTTTCAACTTTTCAAGATTTATATTTAATTCAATTAATTCTGTCAGAGAAAATTTAAAGGTAATCAAATAAATTATTCTACTGTCAAAAAAACCCCCTCTGTAACAAAAGGTTAATATTAAAATATGTGAATTATTATGACGAATAGTTCACCAATCAGGATTTTCGTGCAATAAATTCAAAAAATAAAAAATTCCGGTTTTTTTGTATGTACGTGTTATAATGAATTTATAAAATAAATTTATTTAATATATTGTGTATTAACATTAGTACGTTGCGCATGAATTTACACACATAATGTCAAATAGAATAGCCATTTATTTATAAAATATACAATACAGCATTGATGAATATGTAAACACATTATTACAAAGCATTGTTATAATTTATATTGACATTTATGCTGTTATTATCACCTTTTATGATGATATTTGGCATAGAATCATCATCATTTAAATTTTCTTCGATAAATAACTTATCACTACCCGATTTTTTTTTGGTTGGAAGTTTGAAAGGTTTCTTTAAAACATCATTATTTATTTTTTCACTGATTTTTGAACCTAAGGTTCTTCAAAGTGGGGTTTAGATCCCAAGCTGGCCATTCAGTTAGAACAAGTAGAATCTAGGCCATCTACAAAGTATAAGCGTCCTGTTGGAAAGGATGAGGAAAATAAGTTAAAAAAGGGGGGTAGTGTTCGTTACCTGCTTGCTAATGCAGAGTGGGAAGGAGGTATGGAAAATCAGAGACGTGCAACTGATCCAGTATGGAGTCCTTCATTACATAAAATTTGCAAAATCGTGATAACGAAGAACAAACCAGTTTTATATTATCTTGGAAATGATGACGATGAATATGCTCCAAAGCGTGGATTTGTACGTGAAGAATTAATGCTAATTGATCTAGAAAAACTTCAGTATCCACCCCAGAGTATATTGAAAGAAAACACTTGTTCCAGGTCTGTTAATTTCATTCGTGCTATTAATAAAATGGCCAAGGCACAAGCTTATGCTGAGAAACGTGGTGGCAAATGTCTTGGAAAAACTGGTCATATAAATGGGTTCGACATATATCTCTGGTCTTGCGAAAAAGGACTCCATCAATGGTATGCACCTTATAAAATTCAAAAGCGTAAATTCGAATGGTGTCCAATTTGCTTCCATCATACCGATGAGCGAAGATGTAGATATATTTTTGAGGATCTGTTAGATAAGAAATTTCCATCTTGTAAACCGTCATTTTTGAATGGGATGCAAATAGATGGTTATAGCGAGGAATTAAAATTAGCATGGGAATTCCAGGGAGTCCAACACTACAGTCTTAATTCAATGTTCCATAAGAGAGGACAAATTGATCTAGATGAACAAAAAGTACGTGATGAAAAAAAGTGGGAGATATGTAAAAGAGAAGGTATAGATCTCATCTTCATTCCGTTTGATTGTGACCTCTTGCCTTATATCAGAACCACATTAATCGAAAAGGGTTATTTATCAAATATAGAATAAATTCACAAATATAAGTACCAATGTCATATATTGCTGGAAGCAGTCACTTTGTGGTTAAATTACATCCGCTAAACTTACCTGAAATATTAACCAAAATTTTCTTGAATTTAGCTGAAGACAAAGCATTATTCCCGACCTTATTCGTTAACAGGTTGTGGTATTTATGCTCTGCCCCAATAATATGGAGAAAGGCCGAATTTTCTGGAGATCTAAAAAAATCTTGTATGCTGTTGGGTAAATTCAAAAAGATAATGCATGGAAATCGAAAACCTCATGCTTCATATTTACTTCAACTTCATATCTTTAGTTGCAAGGTCTCTAGTGATGAGCTATATGGAATTGCTAGAGCCTGTCCCAATTTACGACATCTAAAGATCAAATGGTGTTGTGGTTTATCTGATAGAGTCATTAGTAAGATTGCACAAATTTGTCCCCTAGAATCTCTCAGCATTTTTTATAATAGTAAAGGTATAAAACGATCTAGTAATATTACTAATATGAAGGATACAACTTTATGTAAAATCACGAATTCATGTCCAAATCTACAACACCTAAAACTTGGATCTTCTAAGATAACTGATATATCATTGAGAACAGTTGCTCAATCATGTATTAATTTGCGTTGCCTGAAATTGGGATATAATAAGCATACTACTGATATATCTATAATCAAGATTGCACAAAACTGCCCACACTTAGAATATCTTGGTTTACAGACAAGTAATATTACCGATGCATCATTAAAGCAGATTGCCAAATCGTGCCCAAAACTTCTCATTCTAAGTTTAGTCGGATGCCAAAAAATAACAGATGAGGGTATATGTGCAATCTCTTCAGCTTGTCCGAATATGCAATTATATACCTTAGAGGACTGTGAAGGGATTACTGATATATCAGTTAAAAAATTCGCACAATCAAATCTAAACCTTAAATATCTCAATCTTGTTTGGTGTTTCCCTATATCTGATGAGTCTATTTGTGAGATAGCACGACTCTGCCCTAAGCTTGAAGGCCTTCAACTCGAATCTTGTGATATTACTGATACATCTATTTATGCAATAGCACATTCGTGTCATAATTTGCGGGGTCTTAATATTGAAGATTGTCATTATCTCTCTGATGTTGCCATTAATACTTTAATAAGTAGAAATCCTAATATTATTATTCCTGGCTGGAATCCAGCAGATATAAATAATGAGTCAGATACAGATAATTTATCAGAATAAAAAACATATGATATATATTTTCGATATAATAATTAGTAACTTGGCTTGATCAAGATGAAAATAGAAAAGCTTGATCCAGTTGAAAGGATGGTTTTAAACATTGATGAATACAAAAATATAGAGAGATTTAACGGCCTTAATTCAACACCCCAATGGCACTTTACAATGTTAATTTCAGGACGAACCAATACAGGGAAATCTATTGAAGTTGTTCGCCTTTTGGTCGGAAATAAACCATTTAGAATGTTTAATGGTAAAAAAGGTGGCACTAGATATATTAAGTGTGATGATGCTGTGCTTATTGGTCATTATCTCAATGAGCCTAAATATATGCTCCTTAAATCGGTTTATAAAATAATCGCAAATAGTCCAGAACCATATCATGAAGATATTACATTTCGGGCTATAAAACCAGATAAAATTCCAAAGCTAGATTCATACTCACCAGAAAGAGGTACAGTGGTTATATTTGAGGATGTATGCACCGAACCAAAGAAAATTCAAGAAAAGATTATACCTTATTTTACAGAGGGGCGCCATTCCAATGTTTCTTCGATATATGTCTCACAAAGCTATTTTGACTGTCCAAAACTAATAAGAAAAAACTTAAAATATGTTGTATTGTTCAATGGCTCTTGTACCTCAGATGAGTTAAGTAGAATACTTCGTTTATATGTTAATGACTGGTGCAGTGTCTATAAAATTGTTAATAAACATTTATATGAACAAAAATTTATTGTCTTCAACTTAAGTGTACCTCCTGAGCACCCACATAGAATACATGTCGGCTGGGATATGCCAATTAGTCAACTTGATGAACAGAGCGTGATTTCAGATATGCAAGATATTTTTCTGCCTCCTGTAATTGTATCTTTTGTTGCTCGATTTCATATCGTAATTTTTTATTTTTATTAACCCGTTTTTCATACTCTATAGTAATTTCTCGCATAAATTTACCAAAAGTTTTTCGTTATATTCCAGTAATCGCTGAAATAAAACATCGACCTCTTTCTTAACCTGGTGATTGATTTCTTCCTTACTTGCAAAGCAAGGGCACTTATGTACCTGATCACATGTACAAATCGGAATAGTATCTTGGGTTTGGGATTCTTGGTTAGTCATTTCTGTGTTATATACACGTGATAAATTTTCAAGTGGTGATGAACTTCGACGTTGGCGTTCTTTTTTTCTATTATAAACTATAATTTCATGTTGCAAAAAATCTTCAATAGCTGGATCTATACCACATGCTTCTAGTAGTGTAAAAGGATTGCGTTTTCGAGTAGTAAGGCGTCTCCATGCTTCTTCCACTAATGAAGGAGGTAGTTGCTGTATCAGATATGTATATGCTTGATTGAATTTCATTTGTATATACCCCGGAAAAAATTCTGTTGAATTCTATAGAATTTGAAAAAAAATGTAAAGTAGTTAAAAACTCAATCATTAATCGTATATTAACAGCACACCATTATTATATAATCATTAGTATAATGATAACAAACAAAAAATAGCCATTAATCATCATGAAACAGCAATAAATAAAAGTTTAAAGTACTAACCCTCAAGAATACTTTAGATGTGTATAATAATTAATATATTTACGCTTCTATTTCTAAAAGTCGCTTTTGGAATCTAGTCCACAATTGACTCTTTTTAGAATCTATCCAATTATATGGAATATAATATTCTTCATATTGTCTATTAATAATGGAACTGCGCATCATGGGATTGTTTTTATATAATTCAATCCATTTAGTACACCACTGATTAAATTGTTCTCGAGTCTGAGGATTTTTTATTTTATGTTGAGTTAAACCTAAAAATTTCTTATCATCTGGAGTATTATCATTCGGTAAGCTATTCCATGCAAGCTGTGCATTCGATGGCTCTTTCTCTTGAAATCGTCTCCAAGCTCTTTGAATAATCCTTGCATGTCCATCTCGAGATTTAGGTTTATCACACTCATGATCCCAATGTTTCTGCATCAAATCATCTGGCTTGATAATTTCGATATACCTTTTTCTGGTAAAATGGAATGATTTTTTTGGTTTTACATTATCAATATGAATAAGTTTCATACAATCTAGACATATCGCTACATTGGCTTTATGGATTCTAGGCCTGTAGTAATCATGATTAATTAGCTTAGAATTTCCAAATCCCCCAAATAAACAATGTACATGATATACACTTCTTTTCTTTTCAGAAACCAGCTCTTGTAGAGGAATTCTGACCCGAATAGCCCATTGTTGTGGAGTTTCATTGGGTCGAATAACTGATAAAGTATCATATTGTCTTTCAGTCTCATAAAGATCATCAAAGTATTGTTGATAATCATTAATTCCACAATAATTGTAGATATATGACTCTACATATTTCATATCATATCCAGGACAATTATTAATGAGCTTCACTGATTTGGCTTTTTTATCAATAATAGTTGTAATAGTAAGACCTGACATAATTGGTGACTTATATCGAATTTAGGGATTTGCTAAAAGCAGTCACTTCGTGGCTAGACCTATTGGATTTGGTTCTTTATAGTATAAGAATATATGATTCAATTTTAATGAGATTGGATTGTTAGACTATTTCTTAGATCTAGATAAGAATGCTTGAAATAATAGAGAGATGTTTACAATCGTGATATTCTATGAAATGAAAATGGGCATTAACAATCTTGTAAATAAAACAGATTTTTTAATTGTTACTCGATGGATGAAACATACTCGTGATTCAAAAATGATTCTATTAAGGGGTTAATGGTACTAGCATCCTCTTCTGTTATTGGATTTCGCTTTCTAGAAATAAGACGTTTCCAAGCTTCATTTTCTAGTGGAGGTAGTTTCCCGATTAATTCTGAATATGCTTGATTAAATTTTGTCAGCATGTTGTGACTAATGTAATTGTATTCAACGTATAGAAAAATGAAAGAACCTTTATAAAAAAATATGAAAATTATGAAAATTATCCAAAACTAGAGTTTAAATGTGGTTGAATCGTGCTAGAGTCGAGCTAGAGTCACACTAGATTTTTTCTATATAATTATATGTAAAATATCATACTTGTGCTAGAGTCGAGCCATGCCAAAAATATAGTAAATCATAGTAAATCATCTTTAACTACCGCTAATTCGATTTTTTTGACCACCCAGAAAAAAATAGTATAAAGACAAGTTATTTTTTGTGTCTATTTCCATATCTTTTACATATTTATTATTTCCATTTTCACGATGTAGACCAATGACCAATTGCGATTATTAATTAACGAACGTAAATCTAATAATACTGAATACCATAATATTGTTGGTAGTAGCAGAGTTGATTTTTGGAATGATGTCGCAAATAAAATTAACGAACAATTCCACACTAATTATACTGGTCATCAATGTAAGGACAAGTTTCGAAATCTTGTTAATAGCCATAATGTAAGTATTACTTTTTCGCAATTACAAATGTGTATACGCATGTACCGAGATATCTCATTATATGATTGCATTCCTAACAAATTCCAATTACACTAGTCATTGTGTCGCTATATGGCTGGAAATAGAAATGGACGAAGAACCAGAGTTGCTGAGAAATATTTTGATGAATTTCGTTCTCGCTTTTGGGAGAGACCGGGTAAGTCTATTTCATATGTTGAAATCTATTAATGGAGTTAACAAAGCTAATTTTTTACGAAAAATAGAAATGCAATTCGACCAAATTCATAATGTAAACCGATCATCCAGAAGACGGGAAGAAGAAGTGTCGTCAATGCTAGATCGTCGTGAAGTTTCTGCTAGTCATAGGGATCAATCCGCATCTCCAACCCGAAGAACTCCTGGCAGAAGAGACGAAACTATTAATCAAGATAATGCGAGTAATGTAAATGATGCGGGTGGGAATTTAGATAATAACACAAATAATGTGGGTGGAAATTTAGATAATGCGACATACTCATCTTCATCTGAGTTAGCAAATATGGCCTCAAACCTTAATATATCTGCACCACGGAATGACAGTTAGATTTCGTCTGAAAAAGTAATAAATTCTCGAGTTATGTGATCACTTTTGCCAAGAAAAAAATAATGTCTCGATATGTCTAGTAATAAAATCTCAACATATAACATATATCGCAGAATAAATTAGAAGCTCATGGAACTTTTCATACATGATGTAATTGTGTGACCTGCTAATTGTTACTATAAATTCTAAATCTGATTGACTAACTGGTGGCATGATATGTTCTTTGTAAAAATTTTTTTCACATACCACTTTGTTTTTAGAGTGAAAAAAAGAAAATTTCCTCACGATTCTTCTCTTATATTTTTTTACTATTTTTTATTATCATGTCTGAACTAGGGTTTGTATTCACAGATACCATGAATACCATTAAGGGGGTTACGCACTAATAAATCAGCAAAAATCCCTTAAAAACACTTGATTTTAATAGTGTGTAATCCTGTGTGACATCTTTACAGTATCCATGAATACAAACCCTAGTCTGAACTTATTACATCATATTTGAACCAAAGTGGAAACAAATCTTTCTACAACTTTTTGCATCATTATCGGGATGAAATTGTTGCCACTACTCCAGTTTCTTCCCATTGGAAGGATCTTGATAACACCTGGTCAACTAAATTCATAACAGGCGTGGGAAGATTTGGTGAATATTTAATTAGAAAGGTGTGTATTTTTTTATTTTGCAAGGTTAAGGTAACTTCTAGTCGAAGTACACATCGCCTAGGAGAACTACTGGGTATGACACATTGGGTAACCAGCCCCCAATTTCTCTACTCAGGTGCCCTAACTTTGTTGTTGGTAAAGGTCTACTGATTCTGGAGGAGGAATCGGTTATGTACCTTCCTTTACACACTGTTAACAAATGCTTTTCTCACTGTAGGTCAATCAAGAACGGGTATGCTATGCAAAAAATTTTGAGGTTTATTGGAATGATGTAATTAACAAATGTAAAATCGTAAGTAAAACCACTTATTTTGCATTTATATATCAGCTTTAATACTATTCATGATTATTCTTCTGAAATTAGAAAGAAGATATCTTGGTCTATGAAGCAGAAGAAGCTCGCATTCAGGATGAACCAGGGTTGGCAAATTGACTGGTCCATTGAAAACAGATGGATTTAGACTGGTCCATTGTCATTAGTAAAATACTAAACATGGTTAAAGTGTTACACTAATGGACCCAATGGACCACCAATAGACCATCAATGCCACACATTTGCCAACCCTGGGATGAACTATCACATCTTCGGCACAAACTATCTGAAATACAAGAAAAAGTAAAAATGCAAAATTCAAGTAACTGGGAAATGGATGAAGATTCAGTTAATGAAGGTCCTGTACATGATGGTCTAATGCTTGATGATGATGTTGATAATATTAACAATGACAATAACAATAACAATAATAATGACAATGCCAACAATGACAATAATGTTGGTAATGATAATGGTGATGATGAGAACAACAATAATGATAACAATAACAATAATAATGACAATAATAACAATGATAATAATAGCAATAATTATAACAATAATAGCATTGTTGGTGGTTCTATGAAATGAAAAAAAAGAAAACAGGTTAATGATAATGATAATAGTAGTAATAGTAATAATGACAATAATGATAACAATAACAATAATGATAATAACAACAATAACAATAATGGTGATGGTAATAATGATGAAAATAATAATAATAACAATAATGATAATAATGGCAATAGCGGTAATATCATCAATGTTGGTGAAGATAATAATAGTAACAATAATAACAATGATAATAATAATACAACAATATCATCATCATCAGGAACAACAACAATAACAACAACAACACCACCACCAACATATAATCTTTGCAGTAAAAGAAAAAAAGAATACATTTATGAATGTGTAACTAAAAAACATCAGAAAAATAAATCATCATCAACACAACAATCATCATGACAACCATCATGACAACCATCGTATGATAATTTCAAAGATAATAATTACAACAATGGCAGTGGTGATGACAATAACAATGATAGCAATAACAACAATAACAATTCATGTATAGGATGTCCTGTACATTGTCTGGATTAATCTGTTTTTTTATATTTTTTTATAATGTATTTTGTGTATAATATTCTTTTTGATTTTTATAATTGCTGGCCTTGGTGGATATATAATCTTATTTTTTCATGTATATTTCCATCAGTGTGATTTTGATTTTTCTTGGTGAAAGTGATCAGCGTGAACACATTGTTCATGCACACATGATTTTTTCATGTACACAGTGAAACTCAATTTAGCAGATAATTTTGGCCACTTAGTGAAAATTTTTCAAAAATCCATTAAATCAAGATTTAATTAGTACATCCATTATATTGAGAAAATTTACTATATAAAAATGCAGCCCAGTTCTGAGCCTCAGTCCGTTAAATTGAGATTTTTATTAGACATCTGCTAAATCGAAATCCACTAAATCAAGTTTCACTGTGTATTTTATGTGTGATCAATAATTTCCGATCGTGAAGATTTTCTTCATGGTTTTCTATCACATGATTTTATTAATTCAAACTTTTGCTTTGAACATATCCGCATCTTATATAAACAATGGCAAACACACAATCTAAAAATGATTCATTAGAACAGATTTCCAAGCTTATAGCTGAGAATACCGAAATTAAAACGAAGTATGCTGAGGTTGAGGCTGAGAATGTGAAGCTAAAAGAGATAATAAAACAAAGCACAAGGTGTGAAGCTGAGTATGAAGCTAGAATTAGGAAACTAGAGCAAAGAAGGCTGGTCTTAAAACAAAATTTGAGGAACTAGAAAGGAAAAATAAAATGGATACCGCTAACCTTGCAGTTGAGAATATCGAACTTAAAACCAGGGTTGCAAAATTGGAACAGAAGCAATTGCAAACTAATGATGATGCCAAGGGGATCAATCAATCTTCAGTCTGTGAAGCAGGATACCCAGTATCTAATACCATCTCTACCAAAATGAAAAATTCTAATGATACTCCAGCGTCTAATATATCTGATAATACTTCAAATTCTGATGTTGCTCCTGAACAAATAGATAATAGTTTTGAGCCTAAATCACTGGAAGACAAGGAAATAGATAATTTTCTAGTCGAAAGACATAGTGAACAGATTAGTAATGAGATTAGAGAAAGAAATAGGGAAAAGAAGCTTCAGGCCCAAGACTTATCTTCAGTTAACATTATTAATTAATTGGAATTACTATTGATTACTAATGACCTTTATTAATTAATTGATAAACATTAGATTCTAGTAATAATAATAAAAGAAGAAGGATTGATGAATGAATAATTTAATCTCCATTATAAATTTATTTGTTACAACTATTTATTTTTTTATTTTATCCTTATTTGTAATATTTTAATGAAGTTTTCTGATTCCTGTTAAATGGTGACATCACCAATTGCGATTTAATTTTTGGGCTTACTCTTGTCAGTTAATTGCAAGAAACTTGCAATAAATTGATGCTTGTCAATTAATTAGTTTACAATGCATCTCACTTACTGCCTCTTTCTTATATTTAGAAAGCTTCATTGAATCTTTAAACACACATAATGGTATCAGATAAATAAAATGGCTCTTTTACAAAGCTCAAAGACTTTTATAAAGTATCTTTTATTCACTTGTGATTGATTTATTTCAGTACCCTTGTTTATATTTATTGGTAAAGCTCTGAACTGTTCAGAGCTTAGGCTAAAAACTACTTGGCAGTTCCTGATATTCTAATTTTTGCACTCTGCTTATTTAGAACCAAACCCACTAATTTTCTGATCTAATAACAACCAGTGAATGAGTTTTTTCTGGAGTCACAAACTTAATTACTCAATGGCATTGTATTTTAGAACCTGAAACATAGAGATGGGCAAATAGCATATAGTTGAACACCATACGACACTATACGATACTTTATGTATAGTGTGTATAGTACGTATAGTAGTATTGAAATTTGATTGGGTGATTTTCCAAGGTAATACAAAACTGAATAATAATAATAAAATAAGAAAAAAAAATAATTTGGCTATTATGATAAGCACAAATCTTTAATTTATTCAACCTACACTTTTTTAGGTTTTTATTTATGAATCATTAATTATATTGAATGAATTAAATA